TTTTAGCTAATTATTTGAAAAAAATATATACGAAATAATAGATTGGCGGTGGGTATCATAGTTCTTACATAAGGCGGAAAATTTGAAATTTTCGTGTTTTTATTGATTTCTACCGTTTTTAAAACAATATTTCCAAATACTTTAACATTCCTTTACACGCGCACTCAATTATAACACTGTTACACGCGCGGGGCACAGGAGTGCCCCAACATAAAATATGATTTTTTTATATTTCAAAATTAGGAATAAAACAAAAATATATAGTCGTATAATCAGCCTTTATTCCACTTCAATTTAAAAACAAAATTAAAACTTTTTTCCTATGATTATAGTAACTTAATACAGGAACTCTTCTGGTATGGAAAAAAAAACTAAGAATCGTATTATCTTAAATAACTTATAACTATTAATCTTCAGTAGCAAGACTGAGATGTTTTACGCTTTCGTTGTAACGTTGTAACTTTTTTCCATTGCATACCTGACCTTGCTGTATAGTATTGCAAGTTTGAAAGTGGACAATCCTCGTCCGAACTATCAACAGTGCCTCGAGAGTCTAAATCAGCATCGACAGCTAATAGTCTTGTTGCATCTACTTCATCTTCCTCTTGCTCCGAATCGGACATATGCAACTCTTTTTGAGATCAGTTTCTTCATCTTCGCTACTCTTTTATTCTTCTTCCTCTTCGTCGTCAGTTTCTTGTATCCAGTTTATTAGGTATTTGTTCTTCTCTGCTCATTTTCTGGAAAATAATTAAATATTTTCATGTTATTACAATTAATAATATAATTGGTATTCCAAAATACAAAGTAAATTAAAAATTTGCCTTGAAATATAATAAAAAAGATAAAAGTATTTACCTTCGACTTAGTTACACTAAATCACGCGCGGGGCACAGGCGTGCCCCAGACGAAATAAATTCTTTATACTGGAATGGTCCGTGCGCCGATGCGATCGGCGTCTAACTAGTGATGAGTCCCTCACTCGCGAGGTGCCTCGTTTGAGTTCCTCATTTCGACAAAATGAGGGAGTACTCGTTTTTCAATTTTGATGCACCTCATTAAGTTCCTCACTTTTGGAGTGAGGAGCTAAATGAGGTTGTGGACTTTTTGAGTGAGTAGCTAAATAGCGAGTTGTTTCGAATGAAAAGGCGACTCGATATTTACTCAATATATTCAAGATTGAGGGAACGGGTTAAGTTTTATGAGTTTTTTGGAACGATTCAGGTTTGTTTATGTGTTTCTTCGTAAATACGTATTTAATATTTTATAGATAATTGATATAAATTAGACTAAGTAAATATCAAAGTTAATAAAAATGTATCTGTTTTATTTAGAAATGTATTTATATGATTCGAAATATAAATGATTGATCGATTTTAAAAATGGCAGATTTGACACTATTAAAAATAAGTTGCATGTTGTTGTCATTCTGATAAATTATAATCCAGTAAAGTTTATTTCTTAGAATCTAAAGACAAAATATGTTTTGTTTAGCATTACCGACTCCCTCCCTCATTTTGTACCAAACGGCAACATTGCGCGCGCCTCGCTACGTACTCATTCGCTGCTACTGTAACATTACCTATCCTCGCCTCAAATGAGTGGTGACTCGCGAGCCCCTCACGAGGGAAAATGAGGTCCTCACTCATCCTCATTAAAAAAGAGTGAGTAACACAACGCTACGTCTAACTGGTGCATGCGCAAACTTGCACTGAGAAGCTACAGCGTCGGTTGAAGTGATAGGTATAAATAATATTGAGATATTCAACAAAAATTTTAGCTGAGGCACACCCGTGCCCTGCGCGTTTGATGGAGTGTTAAGTGATTCCCGAACGTAATAGTTTATTTGATATTTATTTATTTATTTTATATATCTAACATTTTAAATAATAAGGTTAATGCCAAAACCAAAACAAATTTAATCACACAAACACAAATAAACTTTAAAAAGCTCACGAACACTCGCTTAAAAAACTAACACTAAAATACTAAGAACCTGAATAAAGCGCGACGATCTTAAATGCGTGTCACCGGTGCAATCGATCGCGATCTACAATCGAGAGTTCGCGCGGGCACGGGTCACACCGGTGAACCGCAATAAACCAGTCTATTCCATCACTCGCGAAAAAGAGTAAGAGCGAACGAACATGACTTGTAAGTAAACGAAAGAGATAAATATATTGAATCACCTTCGCGGAAGACTTGATCATTTTATTTGCGAGCAACCAGTTACATACAGTAACGCTATTGTTATAAAGTGCAATTTGGCTTGCGTAGGTAGCGGGTCAAATAATCGAATGTTTTAAAGAACCGTGGTGACTTGTCTACAGTCTAAGATCGAATCGAAACGATTCGATCAATCGCGATCGACACAGGTCTACCTAAAACATTGTAGACCTCGTATCCGCTCCTAAAATGACGCGGTGAACTATCTATCCCCCATTCTTTTAGTAACTAGTGAATCGAACTATCGGGACGATCAAAAATAGATAGTGTTGTGAAGCGAGAGAAGAAAAGTAAATAGTGGAGTCGAAGAAGTGTGGACTTAATTGTTGAATTATTTTTGTAATTTTATAAATTTTGAATGTGAATTTAATTGACGTTGATTTTCGCACCACAAACGTACAGATATATTTTTATGTTTTCTATAAATATACCGAACAAGTATTTAATTTAATTATTACTTCCAAAAAATTGTCTTGGTCTTAAGAATTACAATTACGCATTTTCGTTATTTGTATTTTATTTATGTTTAGAAGAGTTATAGTTAAGCAGACACGTGTTGTCAATAGCAGCCTGTACTGTAGAGCAGCGTGCCTGTCATCCCATGTCCACGCCATAACGCATGTATCCACAATAACCACTGCAAAATATTACACAGTTTTTATAGAGCGACCTATAGAGACACAATATTGTTAATCGTCCTCAGCTTATATAAATATACATTTATAATGACAAATGGTAGTCTTTGCACATTACTTCGACTCGACACCAACTCAACTTCGAAGTTTTGAAATGTGCTTAGTTTTCTGTTTAGTAAATTTTCTATAATAATTTATAGGATGCATGCACTACGCATGTGTACGAGGAACGCACCGATCCATACATAGCCTACAAGTTGTCACGTGTAGATAACGCAGTAAATTTTTACTAGCGAGAAACCGGTGGCCAGAAGTGTCATTTTCATCATGTGCTAGTTTCCTATTCGTTGATGTCTTGCTGTCCACTTGTTGACAAGTCGTAGATAGGGCCATTCTTTGAGGCTTAATTGTGCACTAATGCTTAACGGGTTAATGATCTAGTCCAAGCTGAACGGAAAATTGGTGTTGGAACTTGATAGTGTCCTATCTATATAATGTAGTCACTTTTATGAGCGGAATACTTACAACGACGATTCCCAGTCGCGGCCCTTGCACTATCCAGTAAATTCGTTCGAAATTGTATCCATACCAGCACCTGACAAAATACTCGTTTTGATTAACAATGCATTTAACGGTCTGTATATGAGTGCGTATGACTTACCTATTTTTAAACGCACGAGTAGATCAAAAGAAGATCATAAAACCGCGAAATTAAAGCTACCATCATAAATCGAGTAATAGCGCGACATTTCGGAAATTTTAGTGTAAAAGTACCCGATATATTAAATTAAAAATTAAAACTGTAAATAAAATACATTTTCTTGTTAATCTCATTAAAACGACTGCTTCAATGATTCATGCTATATCTACATTATTTTTTGTTTTGATAGCTTAGCTTGCGGTAATAGTTTTTGCTACATTTATTCAATAAAGTCTAGTTGATACCATTATATATTGAATGAGGAATAAATGTAGGTAATTGTTCGTGTAATTCGTACCTGTAAATTGGCACATGTGGTATAGACAGGAACCGAGAGCCGCTAGCCGTATACCATGGTATTTATTATTTGCCAGAAAATATTATAACATCAACTTATTATAATAAAGTATTGTATATATTTACATTATCTAACTATTAGACCTCAAAATTATAAGTATAACTTACTTTTTGACATCTTCTTTTTGATAATGCAAGGCGGTAATTACAGCCCACACAGCGGTGATGATGAAGGGCACACCCCATCCAACAGAGTAGTAGATAACGTAGGAGACGCGGTATTTAAAGGCGGCGATAGATACCAAGCTGTTCAGATATATGCCCTCAATTAACATCCATATGAACATCGCCGATATGAAGTACTCCAACAGCACGTAAAAAATCTCACAGACGTACGGCTGAAACGAGACAATTGTAAGCGATCATGGCCCACCTGTCAAGTCTGCATGTTTAGAGTAAAATGATACAAACATAAGTGTTTTAAGCTCTTTTTCAAACATCTGAATTCCATTATCCTGATCTGAGAACTAGTTATTTTTTACTTTATTCTTTATACTTAGATACCAATTATCTTATACTTTTAATATAACTGCAAAACATATTTATCATTTCATTCACCTAAAAATAAATTAAAGTATAAGAAATAATAGGTCCATACATATGAAATTGGTGTTTGGTATGGAAGGAACAAAATGTCAAATATTTTTTAATATAATATATTTATTTAATCGAAGTATAAACCATTTTTATCTATGTCCTTTTGCCATCTCGGAGAGAAGTACGGTGGATGTCGTAGACATTCCAAATGAAGCTCTTCTAATTTGGTAGCCGTTTGTTGTGCAGTGTGTGGTCTAGCGTTGTTGTGAAGTAGCAGTGGCGTAGAGCGATTGACCAGCCTCAATTGTTTAACAGCTAGTTTTTCCAGCATAGTTTGCAATTGCTGACAATAGACGTCTGTCATAATTGTCTGGCCACATTTGAGAAAACTGTAATGAATGACACCGGAACTAGTCCACCAAACGCTTACAAGTAACTTTTTTGGGATCAATTTTCTCTGGGGTCAGGATTTGGCAGGCATGCCAGGGTCCAACCATTGCGATGAGCACTTCCGATTATCGTGGAGAATCCACTTTTCATCACAGGTAATGATTCAATTTAAAAACCATTCATTATTGTGCCGGTTAAGTAATTGTTTCACTCAATTCGGGTACCTCACCTTTCAAGCTTTTTAATCTTTCCAATTGCTTCAAGTGGATTAAAACAGTTTTATCACTAGCACCTCAGCCTGCAACTAACTGGGACGTGGTTTGAGATGGATCCTCTTCCACAACAGCCTTCAACTCTTCATTATTAACTTGGGTCTCCGGCCGTCCACAGGGCTTGTTCTGCAGGTCGAAATTTCCAGAACGAAAACGTTGGAACCGATAACGCACTGTGTTTTCTTTTGCGACGCAACCGTCATACACATCATCAACCCTTCGAGCTGTTTCCGCGGCACTGGTACCACGGTGGAACTCGTACTCGTAAATAACACGATATTACAAGATTTCCATTTTTTATACTGGGTGACGTAAATAGGACAAACAGAAGAAAAAAAAAGCAAATGAATACCGTCTAACGAAACTCAAATACTTGTGTTATTATAATGGCTGTATAAATTTGAATTAGGAATTCCCAACCAAGGAGGAGAAATTTGTGATTAAAGTTCATATGTAAGGAGCTAAAATAATGTTAATTGTAAGAATGCTGTTTTTCCTTTCACTAAAATTGAAGACATAGTACCTAAAATCCTAACCTTACATAATAACAGATCTTCGTTCGTCTAATTTCCCATCTTATTTTACATCCTGCATGAACTTTTTTATAGAGTTTTCTACACCTCTACTAACTGTATACGATCTTCTAAATAAAGGAAAGAGAAAGTTGACTGCTCCTATATTATAATATTATATTATCTGAGATGTCTGCAGCATCAAGAATAGATAGATACTAATGTGAAGTTAAAAGAGCTCTCAACGAGAACGAGAAGTTGCCGAGCTCGCGATATTTGATTGAAGTCTGAACTCGGCCACGTGAACACGGATATTATATTCCCCTGCATCCTGCATGAACTTTTTTATAGAGTTTTCTACACCTCTACTAACTGTATACGATCTTCTAAATAACCTTCTAAAGATCTTCTAAACACCGCGTACATATATACCATATACGAATATATAATCAGATATAGGTACGGTCAGTTCAGAAATCAATAATAGGGACGATGACGAACTTTTGTTTGTTTGTCCGCCAGGTAGATTGTTAAAAAATATTAAGCACTTTTTTTTCGTAATCATTAAATTACGGAGATACATTGAGTTAAAATGTCGCATGACGTCACGCTTTGGTACATTTTCTACAAAACTGGGACGTAGCGAGCCCTAACTCCTCGACTTTAAAATAAGCTATTTCTTGTGAAATTGAAGTAAAAAAAAGCATTTTTCCTTTTTTTTCTTATATCCTTTTTTTTACCCAGTAGTCATTTCTATTGATTATAGTTTACATTAACAAAATAGCGTTTGAGATCTTTAGAAAGAATTTGAATACTTAATAGCAAATATAGCTGGCCCGAGTTCGGCATGGTACTTAAGCGGGTTATTTTTTTTAAGTAGACATTTTACAATAATATATTGGTAAACTAAGTGACTAGACCAAGAGACCTTATTAAGCTAAATGCTAATATTTAACAAACGTTTTGTGAACTTAGAAAAATCATAATTATAATATTTGTGAGTGAACAACGTCCGGTCCAATACGTTTAGTTAAGTATAAAATTTACTACCTACATAAAGAGAAATTATAAAGTTTTATTTTTCTTCTTGTAATGATGTTCTATAAAAGAGTAAAAGTAATCCTGAAATGGATCTAGGCACTTTCTCAAAAATCAATTGATCAAAAGAATACAGCCTGCATTATCTTAGTCACGGGACTAAGATTAAAATTGTTTGCAAGTCTTCAGAATATTCAAATAAGCATTATTGGATCAAAACTCATAGCATGCGCCAGTACTTTAATAATATTGGCATTAACAATTTTAAATACAGGAATCAATTAATAATATAATAAATAATCAATGCACACAATTTATAGAATTAACACCAATATAGACGTGTCGTGTATGGAGTGAGGTAGTTATAGTTACGTACATCACAGTTGTAAACTATTGTGCCTAAAGTAGATAATAAAATGATTTCGATGTTATGGTACGTGCTCATGACATCGGAATCATTTTAGATTAAGACGATAGGTTACATTAATTTGTATGTTATGTTTGAATTTGGTGGAGCAATGCCTCCACAAACCTATAATGGAATAGTAAATAAGTAATTAAAAATGTATCGATGGGGCTGTTATGTCTTATTGACAAAAGTCCAAAATAAATTTAAAATAATAAAGAAAAAATTGTGTTTACTTATATGAAAAGAAAAAATGATTTTTTTAAACTCAGACTTAAATGAACTTGAATATAGGGAAATTATATTAATTTTTGGAAGTCTTTTCCAAGTTGCGAATGAATGCGTTTATTTTCATTCTGAATGATGTTTCATAAAATATGTTGCATTTTTAAGGTTACATTATAGAGCATGGATAACATACCGTGTTCTCGATTACATGGATTGATGAGTTCGTAGAGATGAAATGATCCCCAGGTCTACTACGTGCAAATTCCTGATCAATATATAGTAATTGTTGAAGAAGGTATTGCAGTATCATCGCAGTGAATAAACTCTTATGTATTCTGTTGCGGTGGTTTTTTAATGACCTGTAATCAGTTAATAATAGGAAATTAGATTAGAATTGTGAATTGTATGTTGACCAATTACAATTCAATCACTCTGGTCTGCTTTATCGTATAGATTTAATGAATAAACATGTAGACCAATGATTCTCAACCACTGTGCCGCGGAACTTTAGTGTGCCGCCAATTTTCAAAAGTGTGCCGCCAAATTTTGCAAATATATTATAATGTTAATATAATTAAATTATATCATTTAAAAAGAAAAATATTTTTCACATGAATATATATTTAAATCCACAAAAAAATAAATTATTTTATTATTTGCTTTGCAGCGCGTATTTTCTTAGTGCCAAATTATGATGAAGCGGCGTGCATAGCAATAGGAATATGTCTCAAGTCGGCGCACACTTGCCACTTTTCTGCGTACAAAACGTGTTGTTTTAGTGATAGTTGGGATTCTCAAGGTGTTGCATAGTAGTTACTGCACCTTTTCTTTCGTTAAAATTGGCAAATGTATGTGATTCGGTTTAATATTAATTTATTTGCTTGTAGTGTCAATTTATAATTCATAATTCAGTTTTAAACATATTATTACAATTTTCCACATCTCATTTGCGTGAATTCGGATTTTCAGCATTAGCCAACATTAAAACTTAAAAAATATCAAAATTGTTAAATGTAGAAGACGATATGAGAGTAGCATTGTCATTTTTACGACCAAATATAAATGAAATTATCAAAAAACATCAAGCTCAAATTTGGCATTAAAAATATTTTTATTATAAGCTTGTAATTAATCCCTTAATAAACGTTTAGTTATTATTGTAGTATATAAACGTTTATTTCGTATATTTAAAATTTTTATCATAAACTATTTATGCAGCGTGTTGTAGTAAGTAAATAATTTTTATCTTTTTCTTTGTGTGCCGCCAAATTTTGAAATCGTTAAATATGTGCCGCAACAAAAAAAGGTTGAGAATCACTGATGTAGACTTTACAAATTAGACCATACTATAAAAAAATTTAAGTACAGAAAATATTACTTTTTATACATAAAAAAATATAAACGTTATCGGACTTACCTGAAGCGTGTAAAAATAAATAGAGACAGCACTAGAGCTATTAATGATACACTAAAACCGATTATGTCCAATATACGAGTGTTTCGGGCAATTTGGATTAAAGCTTTGGATTTAATCTGTAACAAAGATGTTCATTAGTAGTCATATAAACTAAACGTAGGTGTTCTTCATTCAATTTTGGTACTCGAGAATGAATAATTGAAAAAAAAATTAAGAATATTTTTCCAGTACAGCATTGTAAATGCAAAATCAAATATCAATTCAGATATTTTTTATGTTCCAAAAAGTAGTTACTAAGGGAGTGTCTTGAGAGATTAGTACTAAGGAAGAGATTTGGTGTAAACTTCAGATCATGTTTTAATCGAATGTCATAAAAAAATCCTCAATATTTTTTCAAGATAATACGATAAAGCTCTAACTCTCACAAATACCAGTCTCTCATATAGATTACAAATTGTACTCTTCTACCTAAGCTTTTAAGATGTTATTATAGCCTTTAAGATGTTATTATGATATCTATGTGAGAGAACAAATAAAGTTTAATTATTATTATTAACTTGTACTGTGTGTTGTGCGATATGTTATTTTTAACTTAACGTTGTTTTAATTAGGAGCATTAGGGCATGCATACGTAAATGTTACAAAATAGTCATTATTTCGCGTAGTCTCGTCACAAAGCATCCTTAATTATAACAACAGGGTAGGTACTACAATTTTAATTTAACTACAAAAGTGTGTCATGATACCTGTGCGTTATCGTCGTCTGTTACTTGATCAAACAGATGTTTAACATTGGCCGGGAAACAAGGAGTGTAATTGGTCCAGCCAGCAACGCTAGATTCGATCTGTCGCCGATTCAACCACAGTCCAGATTGGCCACAAGTTCTGAAGGCTAATTCTGTTGACAAGCTATTTTTTATAGATACCTAAAGGATAACCAACTATGATTGCAGTAGAGACTTCGGGATATATAAAATTAACAATCAATCCGTCGCGTCGATTGATTTTGGGGTTTTGGGGATTCATTTATACATAACATGTTTATAAAATGATTTTATATAAATTGACAACAGTTATTTTCATATTGTTTTCGAATGTCAGGTGTCATAGGAAAAGATTGCGATATAATATCATAAGTGAAATAAGTGAAATGTTTTATCTTACTGGTAGGATCACTGAGGCGTACGTCGGGACAGTTCTCGAAGGTAGTGTTCCCGGCCGGGGTGGGTTTCCAGCATATGACTGAGTCAAAATAAGCTTCGCAGTATTTCAAATCTGCAAATAAACATTTATATTATTATCGAATAATATGAAGCTATTTATTAGGGTTGTAATAATAGGGTTGTAAATATAAGTTAAAAAATAGGTTCTGTTATATGTTCGGAAAAGATAAACCATTTTAACTTATCAATATTTAACAAAATATTTTATATCACTTATTTGGAAGATATTACGTTGGAAAAATAGGTTTAAAAATTTGCTAGCATACATACATATGCCATGAAATTGTTTACTTTCATTATAATAACTAAATATTAACTCACAATTAACAATTGTATTATAAAGATTGTCCAAATGCCCATACTTTTTCGCTTCCGTAGCAAAGTGTGAAGTCACTTCATGGCTTGAATTTGTAGGGAGCGCTTTCAGTGGACTTTAATTTGTTTAAAGAAATCTATGATTTAAATCGATATAACGAATTTTGAAATTTAGAATGTTCATTACGGTCTTTAAATCGTGTTAGCAACTGGATGTAAGTTGGTAACACTGTTGTGAAATTTATAAATTAACAAATGTTCATGGTTAATATAGTAAAATGAAACGAAATATTGCCATAACATCGCTAAGATGTCATATTCTATGACTAGAAAGTAGGCGACTGCATCTCAGCATGCGCATTATAACAAACTCGAGATAGCTTTGTCGGACAGCGAGTGGGATATCGTATGGTTGCATCTGAAAAAAGTGGCATTTGGATATAGACAAAACGTTCTCGAGTTTGTCATGCTACGCGTGCAGGAGCAAGGTTGGATCTTGCTCGAAGTTTTTGTTGTATGTTTGTGTTGCGACTATGAAACGGATTCAAATTTTCAGTCATCTAATCGGAATTAATATATCACAATCAATCACTCAACATCATTTTAAGCTTCCGTACAAAAAAGGAATCCTTATTGGATCACTCGTCTGTCCATCAGCACTTATTGAAATGAAATTTAATTGGAAAACCGACGCCCAAAGATAACTAACATAAGCTTGTCAGTTTTTAAGGTAAATACACTATTCCTGCAGCATGCGATATTTTATCGAGGTCCTAAGTAGTTTGATCGAGACAATTTCCAATGTGCAATATTTCTTTCTATAATTTAATAAACCTCGTTCGAATAACGCAGAAATAAATGAGGGTTCACAAGAAAATAACATAAAATTGAAATCAAATTTATTTAAAAAAAAATATTAAATATGTCCTACAAACTTAAATAACGGTTACTAACTAAATTATTAAATATAAAATAATAAATCAAGTACTAAACAGAATAATTATTTTAAAATAAAATATTTTATCAATACTTTTATTTCTATGTAAAATTTTTAAGAAATTATCAGTTGCTCGATTTAAACACGGGCATTTGTCGGTTCGGAGCTCAGCCAGATGTCAGTGGCGTCTTGGCACACGATTTTTTAAATAAATCATTATTACATCATAGTAGTTATAGGTTCCCCGTAGGTTAACAAAATACTAACTAGCCTTAGTCATTCTTGACTATGTCGTATGTATCTATTACACAAGAGAATTTTCCATCATTTTTAAAATAATGCGGTATGTTTCATTTGATTTTATATGAAAAAGGCTTACAAAAATCCCAAGCTTGAAACAATTATTCTAAGATATAATGCAGACTATAAATCGGCTATCAGTCGTAATCTATATTTATATCAGAATTTCAATTAATATCTATAAAATGTATTTAACGAATGAATTAATACCAGGACATCATATTAATTCAATCGTTAAATAAGTTCTTTATTTAATTAGTAAGCTGCCTTCTCTTTAGGCTTATAAGTAAGGAAGTATTCTCTGTACTGAGGTACTAGAACCGGTTGTTGTCCTGGCAGGCCGCAGTTTGTGAGGGTTTCTTTAATACTTTCTTCATTTAAATTTTTCAATTCACATAAATCAGCTAGGAATTCTAGCCATTCATCAAATTTTAATTCGGATTTACTGAAATGAAAACAAATATAAGTATATAATTATATTCATACACTAGTTCCCGTTTTATATTATTTATACTGATATTATAAAGAGGTTTGATTAGAATTATATTAACTTGGTTGTTAGCAAAACTACGTGACCCATTTTAAAAATTCTTTTACCTAAAGGAAGCTATGTGATACTTTGGTGACATAGGCTATACTTCTCATGAGAAAATAACTAGTTTTCGTTATTAGAACGCAACGCTTCAGGTACTTTCACAATGTCTCATACTCATACGATCATAAAGAACTTCAAGAGGTCTTGTCAAGAGGTGTCTTAGCTTCTAAAGAATTTTAAGCAATTAAATTTAAATCAACTTAAATATTTTTTTAAGAATTATGTCGCAACCAAGAATACTCGAACTTAAGTTATTTCAATCATTTTGATAAGTATATTCGATTTCAATGTTAATATAAACATGTAGAAATTGTAGTGAAATAGCTTTTTTATGTTATTACTGTTATGATGTGATCTTTTGGCCCAAAGCTTATTTTAAGTCTAATTATGTAGCAGAAGAGAATGTTTGGATTATAATATTATTGTAAACATGTTAAACTTGCAATGATTTTTTAAGATGTTTATTATGTTGTGATCTTTTAAGCTCGCTGGCGTGGTGGAAAAGCGCCGCGGTCCTCGATTGTTGTTGTTGAGCAACTTTCGCAAGGGTCGGTCACGGTATGGGTTACCAAAAAAATATAATCTCGAGCTAACTCCGTGCTTCGGAAGGCATGTTAAGTCGTCGGTTCCGGCTGCATTTGCAGTCGTTAATTTGCGGTTTTTGATATAAAGAAATATAAAATCTAACCAAAATTTGTTGAAGAGGATACCGGTGTTGGTCATGGTTATCTTCCTGTCTTCTAATATTTTCGCCTGTCTCATCCAGTAATCGGAACGATATAAGGTGATAGTTTTTCCATCTCTCTTGTTATCTAGTAGTTTAGAGTACTCGAAGAATTGGCTGTCGAGTGTGGCAGCTTCCTCGTCTGCCATGGATATTTAGTATCCCACGAGTAAGCGTAATATAGACATATACTCTAGATTAAATATTACTTTGATATGATTAAATCGAATTATTTTTACAACCTTTGTATTACTGTTTAGAAATTTCGTAGACAAAAAGTATCAAAATAATTTGGGATCGTTTTATTTCACAACTATGTAAAGTGAATAGAATTTGATTTCAACATTTATCCAAATAAAATATAAGCACTGGTAAGCACTGTATTTTATAATTAAATATAATCAAAGATACATTAAATGCATGTATATAATCCAAATATAATCTTTAATTTAAATTTATATTTTTTGTCTATGATATAATCAAAGAGTAAGCAAAGAGATTTAAACATTTTCTCTATGATGGTTGCTATTAAGTATGGACGAACTCTTTAGCCGAGTGATCTGCACGCCAGAAAGGCCTAAAATTTATTTTTTGGGTAACCGTAATTTTACGTTAGTAAGTAATGTCTACCTGTGCCGTCATTTAACTTGTATCATATAATCAATATTATGTTAAAAATGGATCAAAAAATATTATTTGCCCGAATTTAAAATGGGATGACAAAATGTTTCGTAGGTGGCCCTATAAATATAAAAATAATTTTACTATTCGTGTCGAGTATTTCGTATTTTTTTATAATATATCACTAAATAAGATTACCATTTTACTTAAACATTGTTTTAAATTGGGTTAAAAAATTGATTTAAGCATTATTTTTGATTTTTATTTTTATGGTCTGAAGTGATAGATATTTCTTATTGCTGTGTAAATTAAAATTTCCCACACCACAATTTGTCGCAAAAATCAAGTTGTTGTGAGGAATATTCAAAAAGCGCTTCTATCAACTTTCAATGATCGTTGGACTAAATCTAATCGAACTTAAGAACGTCTCCTTAATAAAAATATATCATGGTTAGACGCTGAATTTAAAGTACAATTTGATGAAGTATTTATGGACGTTACGCCTACAATATCTGGACAACGTGGACGCTCACCAAAGTTTTATTAAGACTTATCAGAAAAATCGAAAAAACTAAAAAATATAGAGATCAGAACATGGAGTTTTTTTAGAACTATCATTGCTCTTCAGAAATCACAGGGGTTGATGAATATCTTACCAAAATATTTTCTTCCGATGGCTTATCCTGTCCAACAACTTTTGCGAAAAATGCTTAGTAATATCGATCGTGCGCAGCGCTATCTGTAGCGCCTCCAAGCTACGAATTAATATTGTCTATGAAATGATAATTTGTATGATGAAAAATAAAAAATAAGATTCAAAAATTTTGACAAGTCTAGACTAAGTTAACCTCGTCTACCAATGGCCAATGATATTAAATAGGGTTCAGCTTATAATGGACGTGTGGTATACGATTACGCGAGTAGAAGAACAAGCGAAAAGAGGCTTCCGATGATGTAATTAAGCATCGAGTAGTTTACAGTGAACGAATATTTTTATCAGATTAGGTTCACGTCGTCGTCGGGGCCAGCGGGGGTGGTTGGAGCCCCGCATTGCACGGTTTCGTCTGTCTGGAAGAAGCACTCGATTTACCCGAGCTTCTCCAATTTTCCATCTGAAAGGGGACCAATGGTCCAATACTTGAGTGCTCTGGTGATGCGACCATAGGTTGCCGGGTTTCATCTCCCATGTGAGGGTGTAGCGTACGGGTTTTGGTGGGTAGGCCTCTGGGGACCCACTGGGTAGCTCACTATCGAGTTCATGGAGAAGAATCCTACTCACCCCCTGTTGCTTGACACATAGCAGAGACAATGTCAGAAGCTTTTCCATGAGGTTAAAAAAGTTAGATTCACGTCAACTAAGGTTAAGAACGTAAAGACAATTCGATTTATATATATATATTTCCCTTATTACTATTTTTTATGTTAATACTATTTTTGTTTTTTTTTTAACATACAAATTTGCTGTAGATACGTACTTCAAAGTCGGTATTTTCAAGTCTTCGCCGGAAACAATGGTTTATTCATTGGTCACAAAATATATAATATTACGCGAGTCTGAGGATTGGTTCAGAGTAGCTCGGTGGCTTAGTGAATAAACGCCATGGCCCACGATTGTAGTTGTTAAGCAACTTTCGCAAAGCTCGGTCACAGGATGGGTGACCGAAAAAATAGTATCTCAAGCAACTCCAGCTTTGGAAGGCACGTAAAGCGAATATCCTCCAATTGGCATCGGGACATGGAGGGTCATGGCTCGTCCTCCTTAATCCATAAGCCTCCTGCATTTGGTGATGTAAAAGGGCTGATGATGATGATGAGGGACGTTCAAATCTGACAGAAGCTCAGTTAAGCACCTCTCGGAAGTATATGTTAGTAGACGAAATTAAAATATGCTATTTTTTTATATCAATAAATAAAACTCCACGTATCTTCCGTCAGACATGTACTGACCGACTTTTATTGACAAAGAAAGAGATCGGATGGAATGCGCTCGGTTTCGGGAGACAGCATAAAAACGCGAAGCGTATTTAACTACCCATCGCCAGGTTCATGCACTATAAAGTTGAATCTGAAGCATTTAAAGTCAGGGACAATCTCTTGAGCTCTCGGAGAACTCGTACAACAAGCGTTTGATATCAGGAAACTTCTGAAGATCGCATAGCGAGTCTAACTGCTGTTCGTAACATACATGCAGTATGGTATGAATATGAAACTTCCTTTGATAGAGAAATGCGCTTGGTCTCTGAAGAGCTTGCAGTTTGCACAATAGAGATCGAGAAAGTAGTTTCGATTATGGCCAACCTGTGTTGCCCTCATACTCCACAGGCGTACAGCAGATAAGTTTTCACAAGGTATAATGAACTAGCTGTTTTTCCGCGACTTTGCCGCAAAATTATAGCCTATGACATCCGTGATATAGCTTCCCGTAGGTCGGAATCGCTCTAAAACTATCGGTCTAGTATTTTTGGGGCAAATTCGATGCAAACAAACAAACAACCAAATCTTTCCTCTTTATAATATTAGTATATTTTAGGTATAAGAGGTCCGATGGCGTAGTGGGTTAGCGCATCTTAATACAATTTTATTGTCTTTTTTTTATTAAAAACGAATATCTGTCATAACTTTTAAATGATACTTGATAAACAAATTCTGCTGAGAGATTCTTCTATAGCATGTCAATATTGAGTAAAAATAGCTACTTTCAGCAATGTTAGAAAAAATAAATTAAATTTTCTTATACAAAAATGAAAATGATTTTTTGCCAATTGAATGCGGCAATATATACATTACTTTTTGGCGAGTAGAATTGGTTTGATAAATCATATTCTACTCATAATTGTATTATAAATTAATACAGTCTGTTTTTAAGCAATCACACGCAAAGCAGTTACCACAATTTGTTAAATTTCTGGTTTTGATTTCGAACTCTAACCTCAATAAATTAAGGTTAATATTAACAGTTTTTTACAACTCAATAAGGAAGATAGGCAGTCAGCCTATCTTAAATATCTTTGATTAGATTATATAATGATACAAGTATATACGAGTATATAATTAAAGCTAAATATATTGTGTGGAGCTTGTTCCGTACAAACATAGTATTGTATCTTTTGGAGTACGAGCCCATAGAGAAGCAAATGAACAAAAACGAGGAAGTTTCCACAATGTGTGCAAACACCACAATTTCAGCAAATTGTTTTCAGTATTCTCTTGTACTGTGTTTCTTGATGTAGCGTAGGTTTGCTTTAAATTAAACAAAGATGTTTCCGTTGACAGTCTTTTATACAAATCTATTAAGATGAAATTAAATGAAAAGTTTTGTTTCGTCCATAAAATTTCGATTTCTCTGTCATTCGTTCTTCATTATCATCTAGGATTGCAGCGATTATAAAAATAATCACTATACATTAATAGAGAAGTTGTTGAATTGTAAGTAGTTGGTGTTGCTGTCTAACAAATTGATGTTGTTGTTTCCAACAACATAAATTAAATTTAAACAAATTAGTGGGTGTGCGCACGAGTTCGTCTTGATCTTGGCCGGTTTTTACTTTGGGTAGGTTAGCCGTTAAAATAAGTGTTTATTCTATTACTCTATCGGCATGTTTCCCGATTTCCTAATTTGTAACTTTTGTAAGCATTGTTAGTTTAACCCTGATTTTGGATAGGTATATAAGAATGTCCATCTGTTCCCTTATAACTTCGAAATTCCTCTACACATAATGTTAGTGAGTTGTGTGGAGAGGTGTAAAGATTGATAATTAACAAACGTAAAAGTATGATATATTAAGAGTGAGTAAAAAAAGACCATCGTCTTTGTATTGAATGCCAAAAAGTATACTACCGATTCCCATACCCATTACTTACCTGGTATGTATGAGAAGTTTTTAAATTTATCTTGGCACTGCTTCTGGTGCATCCAAGTGGTGATGGGCGCCATGATGACTTCTTGCCACTCGAGTCCTTAGTATTATTGTGTTTTTGTGTCTGAAGCAAAAATATAAGAACCGTTATTAAAAACCCAAAAGCGATTGTTAGAGATTCTATAAAAGTGTTGATATAGCATATATAGAATATAAAAATAGTTGTCTTGCTCAGTGAAGAACAAAGCGAAGGCTATTAATTCCATGGTTCTTAAAATTACAACATATTTTTAATAGTCGTCTCTCATAAGTATATTATTCATATATATGAAATTGTTATGTCACTATGAATATATTTAGGAAACATACGGTGTTAGTTATTATGAATGATCCTACTATTTTTTTTAGTCTGCAGCTTGGAATGGCAAGTTTATTTTAATTACAAAATTTGAGTTGTTGATTTGTTTGAATATTTTTCTCTCTATACCGTAAATTCTCTTTCTAGAATTGACACAAATTGTAACACTCGTAGACTTACAAAACATCGAAACAATAAATCAATCAATCAACAATCAAATCAGAAAGAGCTCTCGCGCTCATACTAATGATTGCATAATTTTATTGTCTAGGGAATGTTTGGCCATTACAATTTGTCTGACTGATTAAATATAGCTTTGTAATAGTTATCTTAATAACATATTTAAAATCAGACATTTAAAAATAAGTAAAGTCAATTTATTTTTTACGGAGCTTTAAAGCGTCTGACAAAAGTTCTGGCCCATGGAAAGCGTCTGATACTTTTAATTTTACTTTCGAATAACATTCTACATAATATATTTAAAAATCAGACATTTAAAAATAAATAAAGTAACGCTAATTTTTAGTTACCTTTCTCACCTGGTACCTGCCCAGGTGTCACCGAGCGAACTCTACAAGTACGCAGGTATTATAAGTAAATGTAGAGACTACTTAGAATCGAAAGTTCTATGCTTTTAAAAATAAGTTATTTCAGATCGCTCTGCGATCTTTTTGTAATGGAGGACATAACGGATTTGCATGACTTCATTAAAAAAAAAGATAGATAGTTTTTCCTTTAATTATAGCAATATGGGATTATACCTATACATGATGATGATGGATGGATGATGGATACCCAAAAGTCTTGATAAGTGCATTCCATAAATATATAATTTGGAATACAATAAAAATTATTAATTATGAAATTTAAAAACACTAGTACCGAAACAAGTAGTGGAAAACTTGGAAAACAAAATTCTCATTGCAATTGGGGGGCCTCTTAGAATACAAATGTGTCACAGGACGGTCTCCTGACTGCGACGAGAATTTTGGTTAGACCAGCCATAATACCTATAACTTGTTTTTTTAATTTTGGTTCAATTTTGCCAGTAATGTTTTTAACTGTTTGTAATTATTTAAAAAAAAAGTACATAAGATAGTTCTATATATTCTATGCTCTTCTTATGGGAGTTCCCACTGAAACGCACGCTTTTTGATTTATGATTGCTTAAAATACGTTAAAAAGGAAGTTTCAAACAACTATTCTATTGTTTAGTTAGACGGTTCCAAATATACGGAAATATACATAATAAAAAAATAGGTATTTGTTCATAATATGTTTTTGTGGGTTTGAATAAGAGTATGTAACGATTCACCATTGCATATCTATGCCTTATTATAATCCTTAAATTTAGGTATTTTATTATTTAATAAACAGTTAAAGAAACGTTTTAACATTAACAAACAACACTATGATGAAGAAAAGGAAATAGTATTAGTTAGAGAAACTTTGATACAGTTATCAGGTTTCAAAACTAATAATCTGATGGTAAATGAAGTTGCCCACTTCAAATACATAAATAATATGCTGCAATGCCATTTGATATAGGTATATACCACAGTATATACTTATCCATTGCTTCGTCAAAACAATGACAAATCAATCTTTTGAAGTGTTTATTCTTTTGATGGAAATGATTTATTAATATAGGTTTGTAAGTATACGAGGGTCAAACTGAAAGTTCTTAGAAAATCAAAAACTGATTACATTAGCCAGTTATTAGTTTTATTATATCTTTTCAAAATATTGTCCATTCACGTCAATACACCGCTGCATGCGATGGAACCACTGGGAAAAGCACTTTGCCCACTCGTCATTAGGGGTCTCTTCAATGGCATCGCGATACGCAGCCACCGCTTCTTCAGCATTCATAAACCGCTTTCCTTTAAGTTTTTCTTTAATTTTTGGAAATAAATAAAAATCACAAGGCGCGAGGTCGGGGCTATACGGCGGGTGACCCAGTAATTCAACGTTTGATGTCGCCAAATAGTCGATCGTTCGCTTGGCGGTGTGCGACGAGGCGTTGTCGTGGTGAAGGAGGATCCTACTGCGAGGTCGTTTCTCTCGAACTTTTTCCAAGACAAGTGGCAAACAATTGGTAGTGTACCATTCTGCAGAAACTGTTTTTTGATCCTCTAACACAATTGTTGCAAAATGACCTATCCTTCCAAAGAACGAGGCCACCATTTTTTTTCCCGCACTTCGATCTCTCTTCACTTTAGTTGGCAACTCCTCGAAAGGAAACACCCACTGAGCAGATTGTCTTTTGGTTTTAGGATCATAACAGTAAATCCAGCTTTCGTCACCTGTTAGTATGTCGAACACAGCATTTGAGTCACCTCCGTTAAATCTTTCAATCATTTTACGACACCAATCCACACGATGGAGTTTTTGAGCCTCAGTCAAATTATGAGGTATCCACCGGGCGCAAAGCTTCCTGACCGCTAAATGTTCGTGGAGGATTTTGTGCACTTGACTCATACCGATGCCTAAGCTTGTCCGAATCTGTTGATAGGTCACTCTTTTGTCAGTCTCTATCATACGCCGCACAACACAGATGTTATCTTCAGTCGTCGCCGTAGAAGGCCGTCCCTCACGTAAATCATCAGTGAGATTAGTGCGACCACGTTTAAACTCATTAAACCAGTTGTAAACAGTCGCACGAGATGGGGCTTCATCGTGAAAGGCCAATCGTAGTCTATCATAACTTTCTTGTTGACTTAAATGACATCGAAAGTCATAAAAAATCATTGCACGAAAATTTTCTCGTGTTAAATTCATGATGACGTGACACAGACAATTTTCAATTTGCCGCCAAATCGTAAAACAAATGACAAATGAATGAAATATATACTCAGTAATATTGGCAAAGAGTTATATTTTCAAATTTTAGAATTATTTTTTTATTATATTGTTTATAAGTGGCCAGTTCTAAGAACTTTCAGTTTGACCCTCGTATAAATAGCTATTTGTTGTAATTTTAGCAATTAAGCTGTTCGTTTTACTATGTTCCTATTAGCAACCCAGAGCGGGTTATACAATCAGTGGCGTAGCTAGGTAACCTAGGACCCTGGGGCAAATAAAAAAATGGGGCCCACTGCTATCAAAACTGGTTAGGTTTTTTGAATTAAAATCATTAAATATACAAATACTTTAAACATGCTAAGCAACTTTATCATCAGCTCTTTTTCGTGCATGAGCAGGTAATAAAACTATTAAACACTAACAAACATAAATAACAATTATTTTTATACTTAGTGTAGGTATTGAGCAATAAAACGAAATAGAAAAGATTCAAAGGTTTATTATATATTTATTTATTCATAGATACGTTGCACCAGCTTACTGTTATTTAACCTAACGCCATGCAAGCTATTTACAAAAATTATCAATAGAAATCTGAAGTACTTGCAGAAGGCTGACTAAAAAACTTGTCAATTTTGGGCAATTTTTGTTTACTTTCTTCTCTTTCTTGGCGTTGTTTGCGTTTAAATGCACCACTGGGTTTCTTTTTTTTATCCATAATATTAGTTTTCTAATATATTTATGCAATATTTATGTAAGATTGTACTCAAGTAGGTACTCACTGTTCACTGACAACGTTACAAATAAAAGGAATGGGAAACGTAATGATACGATACAAGACGTCGTTGGGGAATCCCCGGCAAACATTTTATCGCCGCCAGAGTTACCACATTTGACGGTTTAAAAAATGACAAAAAAAAAAATCATGTAATTAATGGACGGCCCCCTACCGCATGTGACTTGTATTTTTCACGGTATTTTGAGTTATACAGGAATAATTTAAAACCACTGCGAAGATTTTGTGAAAATAAACTTTAAGTGATTTAAACAAACACGTATTTTTTATTTTGATATGTTCCAATACTAAAAATTAAAGTTATCGCTTACCAAAGATCGAGATTTTAAAACTAAATTTATGGACACCGCGCGCCGTGCGTCAGCTGAGCGCGCGCTCGACGCCGAAGGTATGCTCGTAGGTACGAGTATCTATCTACACGGGTCACTGTCCGCTCATTTTGTTAGATTCGAACTAGATTTTGTGCCATGATCTGAGGTGATTTGTAAGAGTAATTCCAATTTTCCCGTAATACTTTTGGTTGGTTGGTATGGTTAAGGTCATCAAAATGCAAAAAAATAAAATAAAAGAGAAACATATTCGTTACCTAGAAAAAAAATATTAACGTTATGCCGAGGTTACATAGGTACTTCTGCGTTAAGGCGTACTTAAAAATTGGAATCAACTACGTATTTACAATAATGTTGAATCAAAAATAATACCTAACTACAATAATAGCCAAATCCGATTACTTACCGAATCTTGAACTGATCACTGTATTTTAATATTTGTTCAAAATAAAGTCCACCTCTGTCCAGACATAAACGTGTACATTTCATTAAATTGTTATTTAATTTATTTAAAACACTAGTGTCACTTTTCACTTCACAAAAAGCGTTATTACTTTTTATTGTTAAGTCTTCTAGGCTTTGTACCTCCTCTAGATCCCGGCGTTTGACTTCTTCCCATAAGAAACAGTCCCACACGTGTGAACAATGCCTCATCCGTCCACAAGATGTTTGCATTGCGATGATGTAGAAGCCACTCGCATAAGACTCGACGTGGTACTGGGTCTAGGTCATGGAGCTGCTGAACCGGCTGAAAGTGGTACGGATGGAGTCCGGCTGTATTAAGCAGCT